AACTACCTATAGTAATGAAACCCAAACAAACTAGTCATCCCATCCAGTCACATGCAAACCAAACCACGAATGTAAGTACTCTCACCCTCCCAAGTTCATTCCATATAAATAGTTCGTGAATCTTCAAGTTCTTGAATTCTTTTACCCATCTTACATAAGACATAGAGCTGGACCATTCGCCATGGAAACAATGCCCAACTTGTCTTTATGATATACACGAACAGGTTGCACAACTACTTTTTTTTTCTTTTGGGCAGATGACTAGGACATTCGCCATGGAAACAATGCCTAGCCGCCCTGAGCTATTTAATATCCCAAGATTTAGTATTTCTCTGACTTTGTTTTCAAAAGAAAAAGCAAATATGGGCAGGGGACTGAACCATTCACAGTAGAAACAATGTTCAGCTTGCCCAAACTATTTCCATTTATACTTTGTATTTTATTTTTTATTTTTTTAATGATATGGCTTAACGCTGGACCATTCACAGTAGAAACAATGCCAAACTGCCAGTTCACATGCAAATATATATAAAATACTTTCCTTTATACTTAGTTTAAATTATGTGCGTGGTTTTCAGGCTAAGCCATTCATCATGGAAACAATGCTTAGCCTTAGACCAAAAATCCTCCCTCAGAATAAAACAAGAATTTAAACCTTTTCAATCAGGCAAAAACCCTCAAAGTTAACTAGAGTAGCCAGACCATTCAAAGTAGAAACAATGCCTGGTTCCCTAGAAAACAATAAAATAAACATCGCAACCAGACCATTCACGGTAGAAACAATGCCTGGTCCTTCAGAAAACAGTCAAATAAACATAGCCCTGAGCCATTCACAGTAGAAACAATGCTCAGGCTTTGGTTGACCCTTCCAAACGCATGCAAAACTGCCTTGCGGCAGGCGGTATTGCAACCCGTAGGTCCGCATCAAGACTCTGTGGGGAGTCCACCCACCGATTGCGGAAGCTCTGCCGGAACCTAGGCGAGGTTCTGGAGGCAGGGAACTTTCAGGTAAACCATTTCCATCTGTACAAACCTACGACTACCCATGTTTGCCTATCTCCCTGTAGTATGATTGCGGTATGCATGTGTTGTCCCTATGGTTTTTGCTTTCTCTTCAGGACCTAATCAGATTGAATGGAAGGAACGTGTGAGAGTAAAGCCTAAGTTTTTTTTCTTTATTCTGACTGAAAGCAGACAAAGGGATAAACTGGGGGAACCAGCAGACTAGACTTAGACTTAGAAAGATAGAGCTAAGAAGGGTGCCCTCAGACTCACAAGAGAGGGCCTTGTAATCTTCATGCGCCTGAGGGCCCCGCAATGACAGCCATATAGCAACCGCTTGGTCAACCTGAAGTCAACCCACCGTCCTCACTCTCCTGACGAACCCCCACTTCGCAACATTACTTCCCTTCTCAAAGCCCGAATGGCTGCTATCCAGCCTAGACGGCCGCACTCGCATGACCTACACTTGTCCTTTCACCTCAACGAAGTAGCGACACACAACGAACTGTGCCGCAGCGCTCAGTAGAAGTACAGCAACGCACCCGTACCCCAGCGACTGCCACCGCAACACAGCAACCTAGGTAGACCGCAGTGTTCACAACAATGGACAAACAAAAAATACTGCAGCCTTACCACTTGTTCCTCACTTCTTAGCCTTGGCTGTCCATCTCGTTGCCGTTTCCGACTCGCTGCCTCGTTTGCAATTCTGGTCAGCTGTGTCCGAACAGAACCCAATGTCAACTCTCCGTAGCATACATAGTGTGAGGCCCGTCAGAGCACCGCAACCATGTGCCACAGTGGGACGCGAAAAAGCGGAGCAAGTGTATGGCTGTATACCAGCAGCAGATCCTGGGTAACACCCAGCGAAGTACGGTAAACAGCGGGAGCTCACACGCAAGCAGACGAAACCCAGGCAGCAGGACCGTGAAAGAGGCACAGGCGGGGCAGTCCGCACACCCAACACCGAGCAAAGGCA